CTCGTTATCTCCTATCTCCATCATCATCATCATCATCATCATCATCATCATCATCATCATCATCATCATCATCATCATCATCATCGTCATCATCGTACCGGTTAGACCGTACAAAGAAATCACACAGGCTATCAGCCTTCTGTCAGAGCTTCAACCCTCATTGCAATGTTACAGACCCGCAGATCGTCCTTTCTCCGTACGTGCTCCCTTGCCATCCTTGGCCGATTCTTAGATTACAAAGATATCAACGTCTCTCTTCACCTGTAGAGCGCAACGTCCCACAGACTCGACACCATAGTAAAGGAGTGTCTGCGTTGAAAAACCAACGTCACAGGATGCGAGGAAGGTGATGGAGACAGGGACGAAAAGATAAAGTGACGTCTGCGCAGACGACTAGCCGCGACACGAAAGAATCTTGAAGTGAGTACCGATAATGAGCTGCAATGCCTCCCTATCCCGCTCGTCCATCTGCCAGTCAGGATCAGAGGGACCGGAGGGATCAACGCGGACCTGTTTTGATCGGCAGATGGAAGCGATCCTTCGCTCCTTGCCCTTGAGCAGGTGGTATGCGTCCTCCTTGCTTCTGCTCGGTCGAGTCATGCCTGGGCAGCTCGCGGGGCTACTCACCTCTGCAAGCTCGTCCTGAAGGCCTCCTGGGTGAAAACCCGTCAGGCGGCTGTCAGAGCATCTGCTGGGAGATTGCAGACCTCGTCATACTCCAGATCTTGTCGGGAAGAAAACCACTGAGAGACCTGAACTGATGTCATTAGCATGTCAAAGTGGTCGGTACGGTGGTGTTTGCCTCTTCCAAACTGCCCATGCGCGTTCCGTCTGGAGCAACAAACTCGAAATGGCTGTCGACTAGATTCAGCAAGGTCTTCTTGCCTTTCACCTGCAGTCTTACGCATCATTCGGAAATCACAGACAGACTTCACATGCTGATAGGATGAGCCAAGTCCTCACCTTCAACGTCTTTTGTGACACCTCGGGGATAATTTCTGAAGAGTTGGATGGTTTTCCTGATTCCACTCCTACCTCATCGCCTTTGCCCTGCTCGTCCTCGACATCTCCATGCACAGAAACGTCTTCCTCGCTCTTCATCTTGCCTTCACCAGGCAAAGAACTTTGATCGTCGTCGTGCAGCCCAGATCGCGCTCCCGCCATGGACCCCTGTCGATTCGCATCCTCTTCGCTCCCTTCAACCTTGGCATCCTCGTCCTTCTTTCCCTGATTGTTCAAGTCTGGCTGAACAGAATCTGACGGATCCTGGCCCTCACTCTTCAACGACACCTTAGCAGTGCAGGACCACCCGGCTGGCAGCCCCCAGCACTTCACCTCTGATCCAAACGTCAGGAGCTGCAATACGTGCGTCCTTAGGAAGGAGGCTCACCAACAAATAAGGTAGATGAGCCTCTCGGCCTGTCATCGCTGCCTTCGCAGTCCAGGACGAGGGAAGAGCTCTGACTCTCTCCTTCGCTCAGGCTGGAGTCTTGATCCAACTCTATCCTCTTGGGGACACGACGGGCCCTCGTCGTTGGCTCAACCTGGGTGGATTGAAGTCAGAGGAGAGGACGAGTCAACAGACGAGTCAACAGACGCGTCAGAGAATGCAACAAGAAGCGACGGGATGGTTGCAAGTTACACTCACTGGCGTCAAGAATGACATCTGCCCCCCGCTTTCTTTCTTCTCTTCTGCACGAACTTCCGTCATCATGCGGCAGCGACGATTTCTGTACCTGTGGGGGCGCAGTTCGACTGGTCTTCGCCGGAGCTGTGAACATTCCTTGATAGTGCAAACAAGTCAATCTTGACACGAACGTGACTGCAAGGAGCTACCCGTCGAGTCCGACACCTTCCAGCTCGTTATCTGCTGGCACCGCCTCACCTTCCTGAATTCGTTCCGAGAGTCATATGACCACGAGGTCAGAAACAACGGCTCACAAGCACAGGATCTTCTTCTGCCCTCTCAGGCGGGGTCTTCAGAGCAAAAGGCTCGCTGCGAAAAGTCACGTAACTGAAGCCTACTTGACCATGCCAATGTCCACGTACCTTGGCATTGCTTCATCTACACCAGGTGGATCCGTCATTCGTTTCAGTTTGGCAGATCAAGTTTGAAACTCTCTGTCCGTGAAAGAGGACAAAGGATTCCCTCCTCGTCCTCCTCGTCCTCCTCGTCCTCCTCGTCCTCCTCCTCGTCGTCCTCGTCCTCCTCCTCCTCCTCCTCCTTCACGTCAGTCGCTTCGTGCTCGTCTTGCCCTGCTCTTCAGTGATCAGAGATCCTGAGTTTCCGAACGTAAATCATCTCGATTTTGAAATGTTTCGAAATAAGTTCAAATATGAAAACAAAGTTTGAATTTTAGGGGACTTCTGATCCATTTTCAACAGGACCTTTCTCGCATGTGAAATTCAATAATGATTTGAAATTGATTTTAGAAAAATTTACTTTTCGAAGACATTTTTCCAAATTCTGTATTTAATTTTCAAAAATAGGTGCCTCCGACGCAAAAATCCCGACAGTTTGCGATCACAAAAAATGCAGGGTGCAGAGGGAGATTCAGAGGAGGTGCAGTGTGAATACCAAGATGCAGGGAGGGAACAAGGAACAAGAACAGGAGGAAGCAAAGATTGGCGATGGTTGAAGTTGTGGATGTGCCAGGATTAGAACTGGTAGCAGGGCAAGGGAGCGGATTGGGGTCGAGCTGGAGGGGGAGGAATTGGAGGAAGAGGAGAAAGAGAAGGTGGCGAGAGATTGATAGACTATCACGATCATGTGGATGAATCTAGATGGACAAGAGACAGAGCACTGATCTGCTCTCTGCTGTTGTCAGGTTCACCATGCCTAACGGCAGCAAGAACAACTCTGCTGCAGGCCCAGGTAAAGTTGGACGCAAGTTTGGCTCACCTCTCCATGACTGAATGAGAACATTCGTATGAATGGAATGACTTCTGCAAACTCTTGTTCTGAGAGTTGAACTTGACCCGGGAATCACTTTTCGGTTATCAGATGTTGTGTCCAAGAGACTTTTATCTCCATGGAAGACTCAGGTTGGAACGAGGATCATCGAGATCGTTCATTTAACATGTCTTCCCAGCCGTTGTCGCATGTTGGAGATGCCCGAAAGTGCATATCACCCGCTAAGAACGTTGAAAAGATGTTCCCATACTTCAGGTGACGTGTCACGATTCCAAAGTCCGGACCTGAGATTATCGTCAACAGCGATCTTCGCAGGAAGGAAGAGATGGAAGTGTTTTCCCGTCAGCCATCCTGTAAGCTTCAAGCTTCCTTGCAGTCTCTGCTGACACTTCAACCAAGATGCATCCACCACCCTTACCTCCAGCAGCTTGCGAGAGGACTCTGTCAAATGGCGGGTGGGGACGGCGGCTCTGAAAGCAGAGCAGCTGTACCTTGAGGCCTCGAGTTTAAACGTTGGACAGGTGAACCCCCACATGTCCTTGTGGGGATCGATAGAGCAGCCGGCAAGGACGCGATCATCTTGTAGCCCAGTCCTCTCACGGACTTATAGGTGGAATATAAGAGCGAAATTTCATTCAGTTCATTGACATGGTCTTCAGAGAGGATTTCACGATTTCAGAGACTTGCAGCTCAATTGGAGCACCGAGCTACCGATCTATGTCAACAAGCCGATCTCTGGTACTGGAGGAGCCTTGTGATTTCAATCCCCTCCGTCCACCTTAGACCTCCTTCCAGCTGAGCCGAAGCTTGGAAGACCGTGAGCTCGATCTCCCTTCCTTCAACGTACATGAGACATCACAGCCTTGGTCGCAAAAGTCACCTTGTTCATCAGGTCACGGACCCGGCAAATCTTTCTGAGACCATGAAGAAATCTCTGAGGAAGGTTTCACGGCGCTCGCCCTCTCCCATGCCGAGAAGACCACACACCAGCGAAGCGAATAGCTCGCCTCGATCGCTTTCAAGCGCGGGTAACTTTCCTTTGATTCCTTTTGGAAATTGTTCCATATCAAGCCATGTTGGCTTTGTACATGTTCATCTCCTTTGCATATTGCTCCATATTTGACCCATAGCTCGCCGTGCTAGTAAAAGTGATTTGAACACAGGCCCACCTGAGCAATTTCCAAGAGCAGAGAATGCGATATTCCAAAGCAAAAGCTCGATCAGGAATGAATGTTACTCCACCTCGATTTTTGCTGACTTTTTTGTTGCAGGGATACGCTCACTCATCGATGCAAACGTGGAGCAAACGCTGCCACGAGCTCGGACTCGACTCTTCAAGATTCAGAGATGAACAACGAAGATCTGCAGATGCTTGCTTCTTTCAAGGAGCTCCTCAACAAAAATGATAAGAGACGCGGGGAGATGCTGAATTCTAGCGCAAGTGGGCAAGTGAATCAGGACTCGGAAGATTCGCAAAAGATGCGAAATGGCCCAATGGAGCTAGATCAAACTGCGAATTCTACCAGTGGTAGATCGGACGATGCGAGTGAGTTGTATCAGACGAGAAGGTGAGGAAACCTTTGCGATGATTGCGAGATTCAAAGCTTTCACAGATCTGTACGGTCTTCAGTGTCGCAAGCCCTTTCCAACTCAACGGTTGTCACCACTTCAGAGATGGACAAGGTGAGTTTCTGCAGCCCCTTCGATTCTTCTGAACCGAAGCGCAGGAGCTTGTAGAACATCTCAGAAAATCACCGAAGTCTCCTTTTCTTCCAAGCTCCATGTACCTTGTCATTGTCAAGGTGAGATGCGTGGGTAATGAGTTGATAGGTACGGAGAGTTCTTCTACAGCAAGGACACGCTCGATCCATCAGGAGGCATTCGTGTATGTTGAGCACTTTTGCTTCATTCCAACTCACTCGAGTGTTCAGGTTGGATTTGGTGGGCTCAGCATGCTGAGACAGCACGTCTTGAGGTGATGCCTTACCAGATCCACTAAGACATTCTGAAGTAGTTATCTAGGGGGCGCGTGAACGCCAATACTATCCTGGTGAGTGAAGACATTTCATGTCAAGATTGTTTTCTTGATGAGACATGGCGCAGACGGTAGAAATCGAGTTTTGTACACATGGATACAACGGAACTTCGGGGAAGAGTCCCTTGGATAATCCATACTACAAGTAGCGCAGACTCGACAGACGATGAATCCATTTGTCTGATTGCATGGCGACAGGCTATACATGACAATCTGTGATGCCATAGAAGCGCTTCTGTATCCGCATTGGTGACACCCACTGTGATGTAAGGTGGTCCGTTGACCAAATGATTCATTCCAGGAACCTCTGTTTCATCATCAAGGACGGCAAGCCTCGGGTTGGAGCCATGGAGGTTGTCGAGTATCAAGGAGGCTTTTACCTGGTCTGTAATCCTGCTGCCGTCAGATCCGTCTCCTGTGGCTTGTGGGGAGTGTAGAGTTCTGCACCACCCTTCACTCCCGCCTGTGTAAGTCCAAAAGAGAGAGATGGGGCCTCGAGATTGATGGTGAGCGAACAGGTTCCCGGGACTTTCCCGTGCCGAGCAAGATTGCCGAGCGTCTAGAATGCGCACTAGAGGTGAGAAGATCGTAGACGAATTACTGTTTAGTCGACTCATCATGCGATGAAGGGACCGCGGGACGAGGAGGCTGTCGAGTACAGCACTGGGCTATCCAACAACTCCACCCCGAAAGTGAACTCGCCCACTTCGTGGATCAAGAAAGATCACAAGACCGGGAAGAATGCAGATATCGGTGAGCGAGGGTGAAGGCGCTGCTCTGAAGGCATCTTATTGTTTGCTCCTTTCAGATCTTGGCAAAGTTGTTTACGCTGATAATGGCTCAGTGACTGAGCAGCTGAATATGCGTCTCCTGAGCCCCAGATAGACCTTGGGCAGTTGTTTGCGGCGCGGGAATCTTTAAAGAACGACTGTATGGTTATAATATAAATGTTTTCAATTTCAAACGATTTCTTGCTGTATCTCTCCATGACGATGAGCCTGGGCGCCAGGAATGTGATAGTATCAGAGCTTTCCGAGGGTTTAAACTGAAACAGATAGCCTGCGAGCCCCAGTCAGGCTCCGCTACCCTCGCCGTCCATCCGGTCAGGCTGACTGTGAGCCGAGTCCGGCCGGGCCGCCGCAGGGCCCCCGGCGGCGAAAACCTCAGTGAAACTCAGTTGAAACAGAGTTGAAACCCCTGGACCTGGGGCTGTATGAGGGAGACATTGAGGTGATTTGACCTTTTTTTTGGAGCGATATAAAATTCTTGACAAATTGGTGACGCTTCGACCATGGTGGCAACGCGTGAATGCAGTGCAAGGGGACGAGGAGATTGAAGAGGAAGAGCAGGTGCAGTACGAGGCCCTGACAGTGTGAAGCCATGGAGACGCGGCACAAGTTCCTCTCTCTGCTTGTAATCTCGTCCTTGTGGGAGGTCGGCCTTTCTCAGGTGATCCTTTCTCATGCTTGGGGGATCTTGGTGTAACCTGATCCTGCCTTCTCTCTCTTCACAATCTCACGTTCTTGTCTTTACAGGAAGTTGATCCCTCCTACGTGGTCTGCCCTTTATCTAACTTCCCCCCGAGCTCCGCAGCGTGTCAGGGTTATGTACCGGGTTCCTGTCCTCCCAATGTATCGTGGTGCCATGGGGAAGGTGTCGAAATAGTCGTCCTTGAGCCGCAGTCTTTGCTCTATGACACGTCAGACTCGCTCCAAGCCACGATCACGTTGAGACGGTCTGAATCGTTTCAGCAGAAACTAGACATCATGTTCACTATTGAGGGGCTGGAGGAGTCCCTCCAGTACCTCAAGCTCGACCAGGCGAGGGTTCAGAGGCTTCCTGTCTTCCCTGGCTTCAGCGCAAATTTTCTGCCAGATCTCAAGTATTGGAACGGAAAGGTGAACTGGGAGGTCTGGGACGGGATGGATAGAAGGATTTCTATACCTTTCTCAAGGGTTATGAACAACGTTACACAACTTCTGTACAATAAGATCACTGTCAACCTCAAATTCTCATACTCCCCTCATCCATTTTACCGGCATTCCTTTTATGTGTTGGACCCGGATGCATCTCCTGGGAGAGTTCAGTTCCAGCTGAATGAAACCTCCGTACGAGTCGGTCAGAAATGTTTGAACGTCAAGGTATCTCGTGTTCAAGGCACAGCTGGCGACCTTGTACTGATAGTGGGCGTGTTCGCTGGATCTCCCTCAAGCACAGATGTTCCATGTCAGGGAGTGTCGGCCACACATGAGCTCTCGTGGAAAGATGGAGAAGGGCAAGAACAAGTCATCAATGTAAAGTTGCAGGAGTCGTACTTCTTGAAGACGTCCTTAGCTATCAGGCTATGCAGTGGTACTCTTGGTGGATTACCTGCGCCTTTCCTCATAGACAATGGAAAGTCTACCCTGTGGGTTGATATAGTCAACTCCTCCAATACGACCTATCTGACGATTAGTCCACAAATCGAACATGCCTCAGGATATTTTCAAATCTCAGTTACAAGAATGTTTGGAGTGGATGGCCAGATTCAAGCGAAATATTTTTTCCTGAGCGCGACCTATCAGAATGGGGTACACTTTCAGGGAACAGATGGAATTTTGCACTGGGACATGTATGGACCCAGCACCAACCTGGTGACTTTCAGGCTGCTAAATCAGAACGAAACTGTGGCGAAAGTGGAACTCCATGACTCAAAACCAAGTTTTATCCCCGAGAGATCTTTTCTAGTTCACGTTGGTTTCGTGTTGGGGGCTCAGATTGTCGGTGGGTCATGGGTCCTCATAAGCACTTTTGAATCCGTGATGCCCCTGTACTTCAAGGACGATGTGGTCTCGTACAATCTCAACAGGTTGCAAGATCAATTCTACCTTGTAGTCATGCGCAATACATCAGATATGGCTGTAGAAGCTACTTTCTCTACTCTCTGCTGCGTCGACGGACTAACGGCAGTTCCTGACCGTCACTTCGTTCCTAGCAGTGGGAAACTGACCTGGAACGCCAGCGATGGCTCTGACAGACTGATTCCCCTCCAAATGATCCCGGCGAACGAGACTCAAGTAAGGGATTTGACCTTCGCCGTCGTCCTACAATGGATTGACCCGGAGGGTCGCACGCATCTCAAATACGCGAACGTGACCTTGTACACAGGGACTGCCGTTGTCGGGTTGATGCCTACGAACCTGTACGTCCTGCAGTCGCGGGAGCAACTCGATCTTGAGTTCTGGTTGAGAGGATCGTTCACAAGGTTGATCAATGTGAGCTTTGTGGTACAATCAGAAGTTGTTGAGGTCGTCGGATCCAGCGATCGATACGTCACCGTTGGTTCCACTGAGAACATTTCTTCGGGGCAGATTACACATTCAGTCCGATTGCAATTCAAGAATGATGGAATATATCGTCTTGACAAGAGCACGTCGTATATTGCAGTCTCTATATCTTCTGCTGGCGGTCAGATCCAAAATGCCTACAGGGTCCTCAACTTCACTATCATCAACGACAATGCTATCTCAGGACATGCTGTGTTCTCGTCTTCAACCTACGATGTCCTCTATTCCACGAGCAATTTCCACAATGTCACGCTCAGGGTGGAGCGAATCAACGGGTTTCAGGGACCTCTTTCTGTAGCCTACGGGTTCCTCGGGGACACAGCGGAGGAGCCTCAGGACTTCCTGGCTGCCTCAGGAGTTTTGAAGTGGAGCGGACAGGACAACAGCAGTCGAACTGTCAATGTCATCATCCCTGACAGCGTTTCTTTCCCCCCTAATCTTCAGTTCCTGCGGTTCACTGCGTTCCTCGCAAACGTCAGGGACGGAGTTCCTGCAGTGAAGGATGCCGCCACGAGCTCCGCGGTCGTGAGGATCTTTCGATCGGCAACTTCAGGGAACGGAATCCTCGAGTTCGATCGGCTGTCGTACAGGTTCGATGAGACGGAGCCAGGGGGCATCGCAGTGCAAGTGAACAGAGTGGGAGGTGCAATGGGCGCTGCCAGCGTTGAAGTTTCGATTGTGCTGATGGACTACGAGACAAGAATGTCATGTTCCTCAAACTACACCTTCCTCCAGACCTTGTCCTGGGATGCTGGAGACGAAGCGAGCAAGTATGTGATGGTGAACCAGTCCATGTACTTTAACGTGACTTCCTGCTCCTCTCCTACCTCTGCCCTCTTCTGGATTCAACTGAAGATGCAGAATGCAAAAGGAGGATACGCGAACCCGGAAAAAAGCGCCTCCGACATTCTCATCGTGAAGTCGCTGGGGCGAGGAGGCCTCTTCTCTCTCTTCCTCCCGGTGGCCTTCCAAGGTGTTGTGCCTGATGACGTCAGCAAGATCTTCTTCTACGTCAACCGGAGCGCTGGCAGTGGACCATCATCAGTGTGGGTTCGGACGCGAATGTCCTCTGCTCAGGTGGCCAATACCACAATGATGCTGACGTGGGGAGCGGAGGATCTGAGCGCGAAGAGAGTCGAGCTTGAGGTTCTCAGCTCGACGACCTACACCAGCCTGCTGAACGAGCTGACAATCAGCATCTACAACGCAACGGGGGAGATGATGGTAGACCCCGACGTGGCTTCGGTTCGGGTTGTCTTCAAGGAGACGGTTGCGAGGCAGGGCAAGATCGTGTTCCGTGACTCGCTCCTGTGGGTAGACGAGGACGTGCGACAGGTCACCTTGACTTTGTCCCGGATCTCCGGCGCAGATTCAAATCTTGCTGTGCGGTTTCGGATATACATGCCAAAGCAGGAGATCTCCCGCGACATCTCGATGTTTGGCACAATCCAAGGCTCCAATGCCAGCCTCACCTGCAACTCCAGCTATCTTGGTACCTCGTGCCAGAAGCAGGACTGCGTCACTTACGTGCCCACCAGCTACAGCAACGCAGCAGCAGCAGGGGCTGTCGACGAAGTGTACGGCGAGCTGAGGTGGAGTGAAGCAGAGTCAACGGACAAGCACATCAGCTTCAGAGTGCATGAGACTTCCTGGCAGTCTTCCTATTCCCACCTTGCCTTCGGGGTCGAGCTGTTCGACGTGAGATCCTTCGATGCTAGACTGAACCTGGTTGATCCCCTGTGGGAGCCCCAGCTGATGACAGGCTGTGTGGGAGGGGGAAACTGCACGTCAGCTGTTGTGATGATCGAGCGAGTGAGTGGAGGCGGGCAGGCGAGAATCTTCAGCAGCTCGTACTTCGTGCAGGAGACAAATGGAGAGCAGAAGATTTTCTATACCGTTCAGAGGATCGGGGGAGCCAATGGAGAGCTAAGTGTGACAGTTAGCACGTCAGGCTGCTCGTTTGAGTATGATACAGTCGCTGCGATCGAGGGAACAGACTACTTGCCTTTACATGCTGAGGTGCGATGGACAGACCAGGACAAGTCAGACAAGGTCGTTGAGGTCACAGTCAACGGAGACAACAGCTACATTCATGGACGATTGAAAAGATGTATGAAAGTAGCACTTGACGCTTCAAACAGGTCCACCATCGACGAGAAAAATTCTTACACCATTACAGTTGTTGTTGACGATGACATCAGAAACAGGGGCCAAGTTTCATTCTCAGCTGAGGGTGTTTACCCCTCCAACTATCCCTTGATCTACTTCGGACCGGCGTACCAGTACTCCAGCACCCGCCATGTCTGCTGTAGCACCGGGAAAGGGCAGCAGCGTCTCGACACTCTTAATCTCTCTCATGACGCTGTTCCCTCCAGCTGTCAGCTCGCCCTTTTCTCAGCTCACAACTGCTCCCTGCAGGTTTCTCCTGACTGTTCCGAGAGTTTCTCAGCTGACTTCCTTGCGATCGACTACGTCAATGATGATCTCTGGTTGGCCTGGAATCAATCTGTTGGATTTTTCAACGTCCTAGAGCACGAGATTCTCTTCTCCCCACGCCCTTATGTAGCTTCCAAGATGCAGGATTATGTGGCCTTTGATTTGATTTCAAATGCAAGCGTTCTCCCCGGGAAATCAATATCACTGTATGTTGCAAAGGGCGATTTCTACGTGGATGTCAAGATTATCTCATGGAGTGACAATCTCCCGTCCTACTCACGTACAGCTCCCTTCACCATCGCTTCTGCTCAGATCATTTACAAGGATCATCTCAACATTACTGTTCCTTCAAGTCAAGTATTTGACAAGATCTCTACAGCCTCCTGGTTAGCATGGAATGCCTCCGACTGCTCACTGTACAACGCTGCCTACCAGTCGTCAACTGGTTCTGGTTGCTTCGACGATCTGTTTCTGTCACTGGACGACGCAGAATCTTCAAGGAAGGAGGACTATTCTCCCTTGTGCTCCAGCACCTCGGTGCAGCTCCTGCATGAGGCCAAGGTCATTTCGCTTTGGGACAAGACCAGCGATCGGTTTTTCAATGTATTCATCGTCGCTGATGGACCAAGTCCCTGTACCAACTTTCAGTACCACAGGTGGGAAGTTACGGCAAAGGCCTCCAACTTCATCCTTGTCAGCCAGGAAAGATACCTCTTTGCTCCTGATTCGCCGCAAGCCTTTTCTGTTCCTGTTGACCGACTGGCGGGCTCGGAGACTCCTCTCATCGTGGACTATGAGATAGACATGAGCCCGGGACTGAGGGACCTATATGCTGGGCAGACAGCTGGGAGAATCATGTGGTTTGACGGTGACAACTCAAGAAGGTTCATCCCGTTGCTGTTCAAGGAGATGTGTGGAGAATCGTTTGAAGCGAACTTTACGATCCACCTGCACGATATCTCCACCTCCTCGTACTGTGACAATCTGTTGAATTTCTCGGTGGGAAATCCCTACGTGTCGACAGACGAGGCTGTGTTGACTCCCTCCATGTTTGTCAAGGTGTCGAAGAATGTTGGGGAAGGTCTGTTTCAGGCATTTGGAGACTCAAAGTTGTCCGAGAGCGACGGCGTCGGATCCTTGTCGTTCAAGAAGCTCGTGCGCAGCTCATCAGAGCTCACTGTCGGGTATGAGATAGTTGGCAGTGACGTGTACGGATCCGACACCCCGTTGGCGTCGAACAACATCACCATTCCTGCCTTCGATGACCCTAGGACCCTCATCTCCATCTTCACTGCCTCTGACGTCATGCCGACGCAAGTTCAAGATGTTTCTGTGAAGCTGCGGGAGGTCTCACTGCAGCAGAAACAAGCCGAAGCTGGACCTGCTCATGTCTTCCCCCTACCAGGTCGCCAGGGTCACGATGCTCCGACAATCCGTTCTTGCTGGTTCTCCTTTCCGCTTCACCCTGCAGACCAGCTCCTCCTCCGTTACCATCGGGGGCTCGACCATGGTGCAAATCACAATCACGCAGGATTCCTTCGAGTACCTCCGATCGCAAGTTGATGTCTTGTCAACACTTGAGATTGCCGATGTCACCAGCAACGTCTTGCTTGACAGGCTGACCTTCTCGTGGGGTTCCATGCGGTCAAAGGCCGTTGAGTTTGACGCAGCGCTACACCCATGGACCTCGAGCATTAACACAGTCCAGCTGAACTTCTCAGCTCATCTCTTTCCTCGCTCGTTTCACCAGCTGCCTTCTTGCTCCCCCAGCTCTTCGGTGGTCGTGGAGAAGTTCACTGTGGTGGACTGTTCAGCAGGACTGGGCTACGTGCGGCTGAGGCAGGAAGACCTTGTCATCTACGCGCCTGAGGATGAGACTTTCATCTCAGTCGGCGTTGAGCTCCATCGATGCAAAGTGGGTGACGTGGCAGTCTTCTGGTCAACGCTGGACGACTCTGCGATCGGAGGGGTCAACTTCTTCACAACTTCAGGGATGATTGTTTGGAAGGACAACAGCGAGAATGTCCAGATGGTGAACATCAAACTGCCGGGCGTATCGCTTGACCTCAACATGGTAAGAGTTGTATTGTTTGTTTGCTTCACAATCTCACTTGCGGCAACAGGTCAAAAGGTTCATGATCAAACTCCACTACACGAACGACGGAGCCTCCATCGATCCTCTTGCTGACGAGGGCGAACTCTTCATCCGCTCGACACATTATGCTCCCACCTTCATCGTCCGCTCAATCACGCACAGCAATCACATAGCTGGCAGTCGAAACATCCTCACTGTCACTCTCAGGCCCAACTTCGAACTGCAAAATGCCTTGAACCTGACAGTCTCCGGCCTTGTTTCATCTCTCACTCCCGACGGGGACGTCGTTGTCTCAGACTCTTCACCATGGTTCTCTTACACCTCCTTGTGGTGGTCACAGTCTCAGGGAAATCTTGTGTTCCAGCTCACGTCCCCGTCCTCCCTGCCCATCGATGAGGACACTGTCTTCTCCTTCACTCTGACCAACGGGCTAGAGGCCTCGGAAGGAGTGATCCCTTGGGTGTCTGCCGAGTTTCAGAATGCTGACGTCACAAACCTGATGTTGGTTCCTCAAGGGAGAGTGCTCAAGGTCGTTCAGAACTCCCTCTTCCTCTCTTTCAGTTCTTCTCTGTGCAAGCAGAGTGCCTGCCCTGTATCGACCGTTTGCGGAGCTTCAAACTACGTCTCTATCACTGTCTCCCCCAACCTTTACCCTCTCCAAGACTTCTTCCTGTCCATCGTTATCCCTACTCTGTCTCATGATGATTGGTTCCTCTACGCGCCTGCTTCTGTCAAGATCGGCAACACACAGGCCTTTGAGGTGTCTGGCTCGTGGGATCCGTACAAGAAGGAGATTCAAGTCGGGCCCTTCTCAGCTCTCCAGCTGGGGGAGGAGCTCGTCGTCGGCTTTGAGGCGAAGAATCATATCCCCTCCATGCTCGAGTCTTCCCTTGTTCAAGTCCGGGCGTTTCAGACTGAGAATGTGACGATGGCAGGTCCAGCTGAGATCCAGGCGAACCTCTTCACGTGCGACTCGACAGGCGGGATCGGAAATGTCCTAGTGCATTGGGAAACCTCCTTATGTCGCCGAGTGAACAAGTTTACTATGAGCATCGCGCTGAACTCTCCAATCGGAGATGACAAGAGCATTTTCTCAATCATTCTGTCTGGACTTGGAGGTTTTCATAGCTTGACCAGCAACAACATAGTAGTGGTGCGATCACAGGACAATCGAACCTCTTGGAATGGTGTCTGGAACGACGACGGTATCCTTATGATCTTCCCAGAGCCGTCAGGGGATGCTTTTTTCATCTCAGACCCTGTCGTCGTGCTAGAGTTTGACGTCAGAAATCCCGATAGGATCCAGCCAGCCAACCAGATTGATGTGAGGATTACCGGGGTTACCAGAGGATTTGGTGACGTCATCATTCCTGAAGTTGCAGTTTTCAACTCGCACGACCTCCCCCAGCTCCTTCGCTCGGAGGTTGCAATGGAGGTCAGAGAGCCGTTCGGGTTCAACGAGCTGAAATTGGCCATACAATCGAACGTCGATCTGCAGCCCGGAGATCAACTGCTACTTGTCTTGCCAGGCTTTCTGGGGCTCGACGCGTCGACCAGTACTTCTGAGTTTTTGGTTGAATGGAATGAGGTCGGAAGAATTCTGAAGGTACAAGTCTCGACTTGCCTTCTCCCTGATCAGACACACACTTTCAACCTGTCGGCCTACATTGTTCTCACTCCTCCGTATCATCTTTCTGCAAACTTTCCGTCGCTGGAAACATATCTTGTCAAAGACAGCGTCACTTATGGACCCTTTGCAACTCACCACAACTCTATCGCATGCAGCGCAATGGCATGCTCCGGTCTTCCCGCATTAACGGATGTGGTCGTTTCCTCCTGCTCTCCGTTGGCAAGCATACAGTTCAACTTATTCGTCCACGTTCCCGAAGCTCTCCAGCGCCTCTCTTTTGCTATACATGACTTCCAGCTCCTTGATCTTGCTCCTAACGTCACTGTCTGCGGACCAAACAGCAGTGTGTTCGACGAAGAGGCGTTCTGGTCGAATGATATGAAAGTCTTGACGTTACAGTCAAAGGCGCAAAGCAACATTCCAGCTGGAATGATGGAGTTAAACTTCATCGTCACCAATGGTCCCAGCTCCATCCCAGCTCAGAACCTCTCCATGTTAATCACGGCTGAGCTGGCGGATATCGGAATGAACAATACGAGGACTGGATTCTTGTCTGTGGAGTATCCGATGGTCTTTAAGTGCGATCGGTACTTCATCGAGCGGAACAGGAATGTCGGAAGATGGGTCCGTCGAGACTTGCAAGTGATACGAGCGGGGAGGACCAACTTCTACGTTACCCTTCAACCGAGCGTCAACCTACCAAACAACTCTGCAATCACATTGAAGGGGTTGGACGTGGCGTACAGGCAAACTTCTACCAGTCTAAACCTCTCGTTCGGTACCTACGCGTTAGGTAAGATGGTCGTCAGTAGAACGATCTTTGCGAGCTGGTTCGACGACCAAGGGCTTGTGTTTTCTGCTCCTTTCCCGATCCTGGCAAATCAGAATACCACGTTCACGTTCGCTCTGGAATCGAACTGTTTCGATCTGGCAAATTTGAACGTGTCCATAGAGATGAAGAGCAGTCTCAACACTAGTTGGATTAAAATGGAACCTGCGACGCTTGACATGTTCAAAACAGATTCAATAGCATATCATCAACCCGAGATCGTGAGCTTGAAAGTGAAGCTCAACACATGGACCAACAATCTCTCTTACGTTCAGATGCACCTGTCCTTCGTTCTCAACTCTCCTCTTCCAGTCGCATCTAAGATTGGGATCGGTGGCATGGGTATCTTGAAGATCGTGCAGACAGAAGGGTTCGACCAGGTCGGAACAGTTACTGAATCTTTTGATGTCATACACATCTTGCAGTTCTCGCAGTCATTGGAGGCATGCCACGTCATCAATGCAAGTATGGTGGTGATCCCTGACCAGTCATTCTTGTCCACAAAGCAGGCGTACGCATACTTCACCAGCTCTGAGACCAGGAACGCCTCCTGTGACTTCCTCGATTTTTTCTGCGTCCAACCCGTCCAAACTGCAAGGCGATTGTTTGAGCTCGATGTCAAGTATTTGCACTGTGACAGCAAGCCTTCAAGCTTCGTCACGCAGGATCTCAATGAATCTTACGTCGTTCATTGCCCTGGAGGATGTCATCAGCATGACAGTTGGATGGAGTATCCGAACCTTGTATGCTCTCAGTCCATTCCAGAATATCTTCATGTGCAGGACGTGCAAGATTGTATGAAAAAATGTATGCAATCACAATCTTTGTGCAAAGCACTGTTTTGGAGGGCAGATTCCGAGTGCTATCTCTTCTACGAGGAATGCTCCTTGACGACTGCCTTCTCTCCAGGATCCACGTGGATACCTCCAGCAAACATTCGCAATGACTACAAGAACTTTCTCATTGTTGGATTTGATTTTGCTGTTGACTTCCAGTCAGATCGAAAGATCTCAGTATACAAGATGGGTACGAGGCTCGCTCGTTACAGCTTGATCGCCGAAGGAAGGAGCAACTCGACCGAGTCTGTCTCCTGGTTTCAGATTTCCAATCGAACTTTTGTCTTCGGCCGCTCCAAGACAAGCAGCGAGCTGTTCATTCTCGATTTCGTAACTCCACAGCTGATCCTCCATCGAAGGATGAACGGCTCTCAAGCGTCGTCCTTGTTCGTCCTCGACACGACTCCTTACCTGGTGCCTTGACATTTTTCTTGACGTGTGAATGTGTGACATATCTGTTGGTGCAGGCTATGGAGTCGAATGGTGCTACCCTAGAGATTTTCAAGTGGTACATACAGGAGTTTGTTTCCATGCAGCAGCTGAGCATGAAGGCGGAGATCTACGACGTCACGTATGCTCAAACGCACGGGACTCACTTCTTGTTTGTGTCTACAGCTGTGGATGTTCAAATACTCAAATTCAAGAACGACAAGTTTCAACTATGGTCGACAACAACCATTGCTGCCAACAAAGTCCATTTCATGCAGATCAGAAACGTGGACTACGTCGCCCTCACGTCTGCTTCCTCCAGCTCTTCGAGTATCTTTCGATTCGATTCCTGCACTGCGATTTCACAGCCGCTGATCCAAGTTGACTTCGACATCAGAGATATTGCGACCTTCCAATACGAGAATCCGTCCACTCTGATTGATGTCATTGCACTTTCAACTTCCACCAATGATGTAATGCTCTTCATCCGCGAGAGCGAGACAAGTTTCAATCCAGTAGGATACCTCAACCTGTTCTGTACAGGTCCAGGAGATGTAAATTTGACACTCCCCTGCGAGAGCTATCAGACTTCGGTTTCTCAGGAGCGAACTGGAGATTTAGCTGTGGATCAGATGTCATTGATTACCATTGGGGGACAACGGGCCCTTCTGCTCTCCTTCAACATGTCCATCTGCGCGATATATCTGAACTCGACTGCAAACTTTGGTATTGACAGTTCTTGCAACATCCTGTCTCCTGCGGACAGGTACAACGTGAGTGGAAACGCCACCAGCACAAGGACTGGTAGCATCATCTTCTCGAACATCGATCTCCGGGTTGAAGACCATGCTTCCATCGATGTCCACGGTTGTCGAGGATACGGCGTCTACAATGAATCAACTGCAGTGTGCAGGTAGTCGCACTTTCATCATCGCCATCATCTTCAGCATCATCATCATCTTCAGCATCATCATCATCATCAGCATCATCAGCATCATCATCATCATCAATAGAATCATTGCCTACAGCCTTGTCATTATCATAACTGCCATCATCACCTTTGTGGCATATCTCACCATTCTGCTACAGGGCAGCGTCACATGAGGGAATCGTCGCAATGGACGCAAGTTTCTTGTACCTGCAGAAACAGCCTCCTGCAAACACACTGAAGAACTGCAAGGATTCTTGGATGCTAATGTTCAGGCAAACGATTGACTCATCCCTTCCGGTCTACGACCCACTGACGTGGCTGGATCGTGTCAACGATGACAACATATCCTCCTCTTCCTTCAGCAGGTTGAAGCAGGTCGAGTCATTCAGATCGAGCGATTCGTTGTTCACTTTCAAGGTTGTCTTGACTTTTGCTTGTAACTCTCAAACTCATAGCCGCCCTGCAGATTTCTTGGCCAGAGCTCGGGGATTGGGCTTACAACATATGGAGGCAGAGGAGCAACCCTGTCACGGAGGATGGAGCGAAGCCGAAAGGTTTCGTATCGATCCACGAGGCCATCCCTTCAGACCCACCCTTCCAGGGCTTATACAGGGGGACCAACTTGTATGCACTTGCTGGATCTCAATTGACGCTGGGGTTCGAAGAGAAGGCTTCCGGTTATGAGATCATCTCGAAACCGGAGAAATTCGCAAACATCACGATCGTAGAGCTCTGGGTCATGGTAGACAGAGCAGACGGCACTCACGACATTATTGCGCATCCTTACATGCAAAGTGATTATGATTACAGGCTCAGTCTTGCAAGGGGAATCCGACCAGTCTCAACTCAGGGAGACCTGGCGATCGATACACATTTTATCTTCAATGAGTTCGACTTCAGTGAGATTGAGCAGAGTGAGGACGGCTACTTGTCGTCCTATTTGATGTCAAACTTCCCTCTGCAGAACGACATCAATTTTCGAGTCAGCGGGTTGTTGGGAACTTCCAAGAAGGAATCGTTCCTGAAAGTGTTCACAGGAGATTTCAAGCAGAGCACCGTCGGCTCTTACAGCAGTGTGGATTACAGCGTCAGCTTTGCCATGGGTTCCTGGTACCCATGGATGTCTTACAAGTTTCAGATGCTATCTGTCAAATCAGTGCAACCGGGCGTCGCGGCCAACATTTCCACCTTCTTCCCGTCCGTCCCTCCATTAGGCATTCTCTCAAGGCGCATGTCAAACACCAACTATGTATACAATGCTCCGCTAGAGTGGACCTCGTGTCAACTGCTCAAGTTCTCTGCCTTCACGACGATCCTTCCAGCCTGGAGGTGGCACTACTGCAATCCAGAGTTTGGAGGAGGATGCGAGTCCGGCTGTTCAGCAACTGACGGGTACGCTTGCTTGGCTCCCAAGGCCCCAACTCGGAAGATGACATTCCAGTACGACGAGCTGCAGTCTGAGCAGTGGTATTCAGACTTCGTTTTCAACCTTTCTGCCTCTAACTACTCAGACCTACCAACAAGTCGACTTTCGATCCGAGTGACAGCATTGATGCTTTCAGGATTGGGAGAGGACACCAATGAAACAATTGAAGGGATGCTTCGAGAGTTGGAGAATCGAATAGAGCAACAGGCGATTTATGCTGGACCGTTCTGGCCATTTGCAGATTCCTACTACGTACGGGAACTGAACACATCATTTTTCTCGAGCTATGACCAACAAGTCCAGGATCAGCTCTACTCCACAGCAAGCGGCTTGTATGCTTTTGCTCTTCATGCCGCCATCTTCAAATCTAGCATGTTCACACCATCTGTCGAACGATTGATCCCTTGGTTGATTCAGGCTCTACAATCCTGTGAGTTTCTCAAAGATTCTCGGCAGTATTGTACCGTTCACAATATGATTCCTGGCTTCTTCGCCCTTCGGGAGAGCTTCCATTCTACTGCGGACCCCAGTATCCTGTGGACTTTGGAGCGACTCAACGCGACGATACTACGACTCTGGGACGCCGAAAAAAGATGCTTCAAGAAGGTTGATCAGACGCTGGATGCCTGTGATACCCTTCAGGCGCAAGTGTTCGGTGCCTTGTTCTTCGTGGAATCAGGAAATTTAGGAGATTCGAATGCAATCATCGACTATGTACGCACAACTTTGATTTCAGCCAAGGAGTTCGGAAGTCAGGATATCGTTTTCGGGTATTCAGACAGCCCAGACACCCTGTCTCTAGAGAATTCCTTGTTTCTGGGTATGGCGATGGGACGACTCGACAGATTTGATGAAGAATTGGCTGTGATTTCGTCGCTGCGACAGTATGTTGATTTCCTGAACAACAAGAGAGAACTTGGAAATTTTTCAAGCATCAGCATGTCGTATGGACTCGGTAAGTTTGCTTTCTCCTTCACTGTAGCATTGAATAGCTCACCTTGATTGCAGAGGAATGGATTATCGCTACTTCTCCCTTTCGGCATATCTACTGGAACTTGAACTCCAACCTGACTTACATAGGTCTGGAGAAATTTCCAAGTTTGACAGAACCTTCATGTATTCCCTGCCCAACTGACGCATACTCGGACAATTCTCTGAAGATAGCAGATGGAAGCTGCATTTCGTGCCCAGAAAACATGACATCGAATCGACTCCGCGGTGCTTTAGGAATGGAAAGTTGCGTCTGCAAGCCTGGGTTTTATGACATGGAAGGGACATGCGTGGAATGCCCTGTAGACTATTACAAATCTGAGGCTGGAAATTTCTCCTGTACCCCATGTCTAGTAACAATGGGGACTTACAACACTACAGGAAATACCTTCTGTCACCATCTGTGCCCTGATCACATCTGCGAGTATCTTGTCTACGATAAGTGCTTTCCCAAAAATGATTTTGCCTCATCTCCGTTTGTGATTCCATATGACAACTCAGGCACGATCATCTGCCTGCATACGATCTACGACTGGAACGCTAGGCTAAGGAGGAATTTGACTGGGATCATTCAAATTTTGTTTCTGGATGAAGTATACTCTGACACATGTGGTTTCTCATTCCCGTACCGTTACATGAGGATAGGGACAGTGCAAAACAGCACTTCAGTGACCTGCGTCAATCAGACTCACTTCCTTCGAATCTACACGGGAGAAGTTTATGTTTCCAACTTGATCATTGATGCCGGAGACTTCATCGTCCAGGAAGGTGGATGTTTCAGTCTATATCAGGGTGCACATCTCCATCTCACAAACTGCACATTACAGAACTGCAGAGCAAAATTGGGGGGCGCAATCTACAGCACGGAGAAATCACAAACATTCACAAGCAACACTATCATCACAATGGCAACGGCTGAAAACAAAGGCGGGGCATACTATCTACAGGGAATGTCAATTGTAACCATGCAATTCAGTACGATCAACTCCACTCTGTCCTTTCACAACGGAGGTGCAATATACAGCACCGGGCAGTCGCAGGTAGTCCTCGAGGACAGCAAGATCGTCAACGGCACGTCCGAGGGGTCGACGGGAGGGTGCATCGCGCAGTACGACGGGTCGAGCGTGCAGGCGACGGCGAGCGTACTCGAGTACTGCACGGCAGGGCAGGAGGGCGGGGCGGTGTACAGCGGGGGCAACTCGACGGTAGTGCTGAGCAGCAGCAACATCTCGGTAGGAAGGTCGCTGGGGTCGACGGGAGGGTGCATCGCGCAGTACGGAGGGTCGAGCGTACAGGCGACAGGGAGCGTGGTAGAGGTATGCGTGTCGGTAGGAGGGGGCGGGGCAGTGTACAGCACCGGGCAGTCGCAGGTAGTCCTCGAGGACAGCAAGATCGTCAACGGCACGTCAGAGGGGTCGACGGGAGGATGCATCGCGCAGTACGACGGGTCGAGCGTGCAGGCGACGGGGAGCGTACTCGAGTACTGCACGGCAGGGCAGGAGGGCGGGGCGGTGTACAGCGGGGGCAACTCGACGGTAGTGCTGAGCAGCAGCAACATCTCGGTAGGAAGGTCGCTGGGGTCGACGGGAGGGTGCATCGCGCAGTACGGAGGGTCGAGCGTACAGGCGACAGGGAGCGTGGTAGAGGTATGCGTGTCGGTAGGAGGGGGCGGGGCAGTGTACAGCACCGGGCAGTCGCAGGTAGTCCTCGAGGACAGCAAGATCGTCAACGGCACGTCCGAGGGGTCGACGGGAGGGTGCATCGCGCAGTACGACGGGTCGAGCGTGCAGGCGACGGCGAGCGTACTCGAGTACTGCACGGCAGGGCAGGAGGGCGGGGCGGTGTACAGCGGGGGCAACTCGACGGTAGTGCTGAGCAGCAGCAACATCTCGGTAGGAAGGTCGCTGGGGTCGACGGGAGGGTGCATCGCGCAGTACGGAGGGTCGAGCGTACAGGCGACAGGGAGCGTGGTAGAGGTATGCGTGTCGGTAGGAGGGGGCGGGGCAGTGTACAGCACCGGGCAGTCGAAGGTAGTCCTCGAGGACAGCAAGATCGTCAACGGCACGTCCGAGGGGTCGACGGGAGGGTGCATCGCGCAGTACGACGGGTCGAGCGTGCAGGCGACGGGGAGCGTACTCGAGTACTGCACGGCAGGGCAGGAGGGCGGGGCGGTGTACAGTGGGTCTGGATCGTCTTTGATCATGTACTTTTCGAGTATCCTCAACAGTGTGTCATACTCGTTTGGTGGCTGTGTTGCCATTGTAGGTCACTCGTGGGTTACTGTTTCGTCTTCACTGTTTGATTCCTGTAGTATTATTCCGTTGTCTTCAAGTTTGTACCTCAACTCCGGTGGAGCCTTCTTTGTTCAGGCTTCCTCTGTTTCATTTGCGGATAGCAATATCTCAAACTCGTTTGCACGTTTCGGTGGGGCAATTTTCCTCTCTGAAGTTTCTATCTTTTCTGTTTCAGGGAACTCCTTCTTCTCCAACAGTTACGGTGCTGTTGGGGAACTCGTTTTTGTTGCAGGCAACTCTACTTTCTCTGTTGAGACGGGTTCACTCGTTCTTGATACGCAACAGTCAGATTGCACCAGCTCTAACTCTTGCAAAACAGTGACAGGGTCGCAAAAATGTTTAGTTACACAAATCATTACCGAGTACAACTGCTCATGCGACGTGGGGTCCTATTTTGATCTCGACGTGTGCACTGCTTGTCCATGTAAGTCCTGTCCGAACTTAACGACTACTCGTCAAGCCGGGTTGAAGTCTATCACTTCTTGCGACGCTTGTGTCGTCGGTTACTACTCGATAGACCTTGTGAGCTCGCCATGCACTCGATGCCCTCCCCTAACCACCTCCAATGGCACCGGGAAGAGCAGCGTCGAAGATTGCCTGCCGTACCAACCGCTCCTGAGCTACCAGTTCGAACCCGGTCAGTTCCTTAACGACAGCTCCGGCAACGGCTACACTCTGACAAACTTTGGAGCGACTGGGTCAACGCTCTCGAACAAAGGAAAGCAGGCTGCAGCTTTCAGTAGCTCTGCTGGACAGGAGTACATGACTGTGCCGAAGACCCTTGACTATGCGGAGGTCCAACGGACGAGTGGAATAACTTTCTCCTTCAGTTTCAAAGCATCGCCCAACACCAGCGTTCACGCGAAGCTGTTCGACTTCGGAGCTGGAGCGCCTGACAACAACATCGCAGTTGGATTTGACGGCCTGTCAGAGCCGAGCACAGGGAAATTGAGTTTTGACTTGTACGAAGGGACAGTGCCAGCGACTAGAATGTTGACAGATAACAACTTTAGAGATGGGAATTGGCATCATGTAGTGTACTCGGTCGATTCGAACTCGACTGCATATCCCAGTACAGTGCAAGTGTGGGTTGACTCCGTTCAATACCTCTCCTACAGCAATCAGATATCGAACGAGGTTCAGTCTGTGGATCAATCTTTGAGGACTCTGTACCTTGCTAAGTCGCACTGGACTGAAGATGGACCACTAGACGGCTATCTCGACGACTTTCGCGTGTATGACTTTCCTTTCACATCGTTCGATATGGAGCAACACTACCTTTCACTGGGCTCAGACTATCCCAGCACGGCCTATGCTCTTGCAGCTCAAGTCATCCAGGACAAGCAGCCATGGGGCATCTACCATGCTGAAGATTTCGACGCGCTGAGCACTCAGTGCTGGAAAGAATCGCGGGGGGTCAAGGACTCGGTGACATGCGAGAGCGGCACCTTTGTAACGGGCTTCGAGAGTGGTAACGGTGCTAACGCACAAGTGTCCTTCGTCTCCGGCAACACAGCGAGCGTTATGAGGTGGCCCAACGGAAGCATACCATCCCAGTTCACCATCTGCTCCGTCTCCAGGTACGCCGGTGCCTCCCAGCTGAAGGTCTTGACCGCCGACCCCTCGGTGCTGAGCTGGTTCCATGGGCATGCAGACGGCATGATCGGCGTTGCCTACTACGAAGGATGGAAAGCGAATGTCAGCCTCAGCAGCTCGAGCACTGAAACATGGCTGGTGATGTGCGGGAAGAACGACAACAACACACCAGGCAACATACAACGAGCCCTGGGCAACAGCACGACGATGCAGAGCGCTGGGATAGCGGGAGGAGGATCAGGAGGGGCATACCTGACAGTGAATACAGCTGCTAATGAAGAATCAGACTTCGCCTTGTCACAGATATACATCTGGGACCAGCTCCTCACGGATGATGAGATGGGTCTGATAGGCCAGGCCCTTCTCGAGTACTTGGCAACAGGAAACCGTCTGACCATCATCGAGTAGCCTGATAGCTAGTAATCTTGAAGAGTCTTCATTAAAGTATGACTGATGTTTCAACCCTCTCCCATTCTTCAACCGTAACTGTAGTACCACGTCCACAACCGTTGAACTGAAGCCGCGCGGGGTCGGGCTGTTCTCCGAGAGGCTCAGGCCGCTTTAGTTAGACTGACAGAGTCACCACTGAGTGTGTCTCCCTGGGGGCCCCGGGCGCACTGAAACGGTCTCAGTGCTGTCCGATCTTGAGCCTTCGGGCCCGGCCGGGCCATTACAGGTAGTTCGGTTGGTCAGAAGTGGAGGTGGTGGGGGAGAACCAGGGGTGGTCTCTGCTCAGGAACGGCAAGATGGGTTGTATGCTGGAGCTTGACTGCGGCTACGTGGGGGGCATGGTAGCGGTGATCGCGCTGATGATGATGACATGCCTGGCGCTCTTCTACATCGAACGACGGATGAGGAGGCGGTACCCCGGTGAGCTCCATCTCCAGCCTCTACAGATGTATCTTGACGAGAGGAAAGCGCAAAATTTGAATCTGAACCTGTAGAAGCGCTCCCCTCGTGTTTAGCAGTTGCAGCCTCCTTCTGCTCTTGCCTGCTTGTACTGACATCCATATTCCTCTTCTTCATATCCTTGCCTGAGTGCTCTGCATAACTGTGGAATTGAAACTTCTGTCCTGTTTGATTTTTTTTCATGTTATGAGGAATTCATTGTGCAGGAGCGCCATATGGGTTTGAACCGACCGATCTGCTCTCCGAGCAGGAAAGATACCATCTGCGACGATTCAAAGTGCTCAGAATGTCAAGCAGCGCGGACAAGGTCAACGCTACTCAGATGATACATGGAACAGCAGGGGAGCACACAACCGATCGGACAACCGAAGTCAAACACTTGTTTGAGATCGCTGTTGGAGCTACCATTGAGGTGATCAACACAAGAAGTTGGGGATGGCAAGGCAGTCTGAACCATCAGAACGCATGGTTTCACTTTCTGAGCAAAGAAAAGGTAGCTGTTTCAATCGATACACCATGTTGCGTTGACCTTACTCATTCAGTCTCTCATTCAAACGGGAGATGCAGTGACGGTCAAGGAGCTCATGCACGAGTCGATGTCTTGGAAAGGATTGTGCAGGGGGGTGGAAGCAATCTATTCGTTACCTCTCAGAGATGGTGTGAGAACCATGTTTGCATCGACAAAACAGTTCTGATGAAGTGTTGAGCAGATTCCAAATGGATGATGAATGAACGGAACATAAACATCTCTGAAATCGCTTTGGCTACGTGATGTGCATTACTTTAGTGAAATGAAGAACTCGTCCGGAGGGATACTTTAACGCGGATAAAGGATATTGTTTCGCGGGCTGAAACGTTTGAAAATAACGAGATGGCAGGGAAATTTGCTTTCTCAAAATGATTCAATTCATATACTATTTGTACATATATACACAGAGATCAATTATTCTTTTCTTTCTTGCTGCCTTTGTTGTCTTTGACCTCGCCCTTACTTTTCGTTTTCTCGGGTTGTTTGTCATGCTGACCGTGTGGAGACGTCGGTGCAACAATCAGGTACAAACAAGCGATAGAAGTGAGGCAAGTAACAAAGAGAGCAGCAGCTATCAGGTGTCTCTCCGTGAAGACAAAGGTTGAAACCGCAGGAAAGGTGTTCTCAACCGAGCCCGACAGGTTCATTATGGCACACTCCGGGATAGTCCTTGCGATTTCAAACGCTTCCTCCAGCCTCCTCCGGGCTTCCTGAGCCTAAGACCACTGCCGTCAACTCTCTCCTCTGCTCGTGTAGTGAACTCACCGACTCCTTGGCAGCTTCGGCGCTTTGCAAGGCAAGGATGTCAGTCTCACCCGGCTGCACACAGGAGCTCAGTCCCTCCTGCTGCTGAGACCCGTTGACCCACAAGCCCTTCACTAGCTCCTCTGCCATTCAAGGTGTCAAGCCTCCTGCATGGAAGCGAACACAAAGTCTACCTCCCCACAGAATGCCGGGCAGCACTTGTACTCCGCAACCATGCTGAACTCCAGCTGGACATAAACATGAGGGGGACGAGGCGTCAGCTGCAGGTGCACCTCTGAAGGATCCACGATACTCCGAGCCATCAGGCCACACGTAGACGCCCGAGCCGTTGCGAGCTCCTTGGCTCCAATCTCCATAGTACTTGACGGACTTCTCCGTGAACATCACTCCCCGACCTCCTGGCAGCGCCTCCAGGAACTCTCCTTCGTAACCTGCGCGAAGTCTGATCAGCATACTCCCTTCTGACATGTCTCTGAGTACGGTTCCCCCGAAAGTAAGAGACGCCTCGGCCTGTGAGGCTGTCGGAGCATCAGACAAGAAAGGATGTGAACCACACTGTCCCACCTGCTGTTGCTCCAGTCACCAGCGTAGACCGACCCGTCCTCGAACTTGACCAAGACACTGAGGGGTCGAACTCAGCTTGCGCAAACAAAGACATGGAAGCAGCATTGATCGCCACCTTCCATATCCGTTCCCCTGTCTAAACTCCCCACAGAAGTAAGATCCTTCCGAGGATACAAAGAGCCCCCTGTCCATATTCAGAGTCAACCTGCTGTTCATGTTCCCGTCCTTTCGGCTACCTGCCGTCCTCCTTCCCATTCACGAACGTCCCCTTGTACTCTTCACCCCCCGGCCAGACGAGTCGTCCTTCCATCCTCCACATTAAATGCTCACGTCAGGGTTGAGCGGGTCTTTACCTTTCCCTTGAGGGACTCCGTCGATCACCGAACCCTCGAACCTGCGCTGTGTCAGCTGATCGCCAACTGTTTACTTCCTCCACGTCCCTCCCATCACCTCTTCCCGTTCTTCCATGTGAATGTTCCATTCCCATGTGGCTTGCTGCAAGAATTTCTCAGCTCCTTTCAGCCTCATCGCACTGGTTACCCGTTCTCCCAGTATCCAATAAAACGCTGTCCGTTGGCCCAAGTGAAGATGCCGAAACCCACCTTTCCACCATCTTCAGAGCATCGCTAGGAAAGTCAGTCGCGTGCTCGCACAGGCTTGCCGTTCTGATACGAGCCTTCCAACCTTGTCCCGTCCTCCATGATGTAGAAGCCATCGCCTTCGGGGGTCCCCCACCTGCCGAAAGTGTCAGAGAATCGCATCATTTAGGTAAATGTCCTCTCACCCTCCTACTCCCGACTTCAAACATGTTCCTTCCCAGCTCTCTAAGCTGGGTCTCCCGCACATATCTGCCAACGAAGCCCCTGCTCGAAACATGATCAGTGCAGTTCTGCTATACTTGTGTGCAGGCCGGGTGAGGTGGAACACGAGGAAGCAGAGGAGGAGGGAGAGGACAGAGGGAGATCAGAGAGAGGAAGGAGGAGGACACGTGACCCAACAGCTTCCGCCAGCATCATCACCCGCCATCGCCAACAGCATGGCAATCGAGGACCGGGAGCTGAGCATTTGGCGCTGACGTAATTCCGAAAAGACTCTGAGGCAGACTCGGATTGGAGTGACTGAAATATGCACGTGAAGATCAAGAGGTGGAGGCTAGGAGGAGGAGGAGGAGGAGGAGGAGGAGGAGGAGCCGAAGTTGAGGATGGAGAGCAAGAGGGTACTGGATTGATTCCGTAGTGTGCAAGAGGAGGAGAGGAAGGGAGATGGAAGGAGAGGAAAAGGAGCAGGGAGGGGATACAGTGCAGAAACAGGGGTTAAAAGGAGCAAGTAGGTGGTAGCGAAATTGAAGAGGAACAGATATCTTCTGACATGCAGGCATCTTACAGATATCTGAAGGATTCGATCAACAGGATCTAGGATCTCTTTTTGTACATCTCAGAAGATTAAGTGGACTTGCAAGTTCGCTCTGGCCCTGCTTGTGCTGGTGGTTGAAACGTCTCTGATGGAGGGTAAAGCATGTTTTCGTGCCCTTCCCGCATCTCAGTTGCCATGCAGTCAAACCGATGAGAACGCTTCCGAAGAAGAGGCAGGCTAAGGTGCTAGAGGATGTGAAGACGGGATTGTGTGGTTACATATAAGGGCAGGAGGACCCGGAGGCGTACCTGAACCTCCTGCCTCCCAAGAAGCAATGGAGTGAAGAAGAGCAGGAGCAGGCAAACGCGAGCTGGAAGGCCATATGTGAACGAGTCTCGCATGCAAGTGAACCGTTGAAGAACGGGGAAGTGAGTGAAGAGACGGTCAAGTTCGACGGGAGGATCGTAGCTCGTCGAGAGATGTCAAAGCATCTCATCTTCCTCGAGCTCAAACCTCTCCGACGATGCATGCAGCCCGAGGGAGCTTCGAAGATGGAGGAGGATACGCCGCAGCTGCAAGTCATGCTGGACGTCTCTCGCTGGCGAGGAAGCGTTCCCTTCGAGGTAGAGGCGACGCTGTTGCGACCGGAGGCGGAAGCTTGGTTCCAAGGGCTCTGCGGCAAGTCGCTCAGGCACGGCGATGCGCTGGTGTACTGCTTCGATGCCTGCATGCTCAGCGCTAAGCCGCATCCCGTGTACATTCAAAGCATGATCGAGCTGATGAGGAACGAGAGCGTTGGGGTCAAGAGGGTTGCCGAGAGCCTAGAGATGTCCGAGGACGCGGTCGCACAGCTCTCGAAGCTGTCAGACAAGACGCTGCGACAGCAGGCAGCGAGAATCTCTAGGCTGCTCCAAGGAAGGAATGCGCAGGCGAGCAGGTGAGGAGGGACAGGAGGAGCAGGAGGAGCAGGAGGAGCAGGAGGAGCAGGAGGAGCAGGAGGAGGAGCAGGAGCAGGAGCAGGAGCAGGAGCAGCAGGAGCAGGAGCAGCAGGAGCAGGAGCAGGAGCAGGAGGAGGAGGTCGTGGTAGCGATATCAGCGTGACTTGCTTGCAGGCTTCGCCCGTGCAAGATTGACAAGGAGCTCCTGGATGCGCTGGAGCAGGCGAGTAAGACTCAAGCGAAATTTCATATGAAGCGAATTGAGACTACCGGGGACTTCGACGTCGTGATCACCATCCCTTCCCAGAGCGAGGAGAGCGAGCAGAAGCGGCGAGACGCGTATGCGCATGGCAAGAAGGCACCACAGGTGCGTTGGATGCTGCAGAGGTTGAACGAGCTGTTCGGTGGCAGAGCAAAGAGCTCTTGGTTCGCCGGGGAGGTGCCGGCACACCAAGACGGGAACATCGCCTGGGAGGACGGGAACGGCTGGACAGTCGTGGACGTTGGAGGAGGGCGCGGGGATCTGACAGTGAACATTGCCAAGTACATGTCCAAGTTGAAGGTGGAGATGGTGAGTATGATGGTGCGAAGTTTGCGGGGGAGACACGTGCTGACTCACTTGCTGCTACTCCTTTGCAGCTGGAGGTCAACTTGCCATCCCTGGAAGCAGCGAGGACGGTGGCAACGGAAGTCAAGGATGCGGAGGGGAGGGAGATCGCGGAGAGGATCCGCTTCCGCGAGGAGAACGTGACGGAGCTGCTGGCGAGACGTGGGATCGTAGAGGGGGGAGGGGAGAAGGAGCGCCTGGTACTTGTAGGACTCCATGCCTGTGGAGGCCTGACGGACGCCATCCTCTCGTTGGCAAGGAGGGAAAAGGTACATTTTGATACCTCTTTGCCCCTCCTTCCTCGTTCCTCCCTCCCACGTCTCTTGTTGTCTCTCTTCCTGCTCCTCCTCGTGCTCAGCTCGCCCGTGTCATCCTCCTCTTCGCCTCCTCACGTCTTCTCAGGCTCCGTTCCTGTGCTGCCCGTGTTGCTTCCTGAAGCACTTTCACCTCCGAGAGCTGGCTCACAATGCAGGGCAGTCGGAACAAGAGAGCAACATGCTACGAGAGGAGGAGAGAGGAGAAAGTAGACCCGGGGAGGAGGCAGCTGGGAGCAAAGGGGATACGAGCTGCGACGAGTGGGAGGAGAGGTGAGAAGGGATGATGATGATGATGATGATAATGATGATGATGATGATGAGGAGGAGGAGGAGGAGGAGGACAGTTGGATTGGAGATGGGGGACGGGGGAGGGAGAGGAGGATTCAATGGAAGTGCAGGTGGAGGAAGCTCGCAAAGCTTGGGGAGTTGACAGACCCGCACGAGGAGTCAGTGAGGTGTCAGAAGGAGGCCATGATAGGTGCTTCCTTCTCCTGCTCCTCCTGCCCTGCTGACTCCCTACTCCACCTCTCCCAGCTCTCGGCTCAGCTCGGCTGGGGAAGTTTGACAAGGACAAGGTCCGAACGGCTTGACTTCTTTTTTGCCATCCTCTCTGACTCACTTGGCAGTGGGAGCTCGGGATTCTGTCATTTGCTGATGACATCTCAGCGAGAAACCTTGTCCTCGTTGGACTTCCTTGCAGCACTTGATCTGGTCCCTCCTCTTCCTCCTCCTGTCTCCCTCCTCCTCTTGTCTCCTCTTCCTCCTCCTCCTGTCTCCCTCCTCCCCCGCCCCCTGCCTCGTTAGTCAACTTCCTCTCTCCTCTTCCTCCTCCACCAATCTGCTGCAGAGTTTTCAAGCCGAAAGTTTTAATCGTTTCAAGGTAAAAATCTTTTCGAGCACACAAAATAATCTTACAAGCCCCGCCACACCTCCTCGTCTCCTCCTCCTTCCCCCATCCCTTCCTTCCCTCCTCCTCACTTGGAGCATGCTATCTCCACCAGGTCGTCGGTGAGTTTGTCAATCCACTCCGGCCTCTTCGTCACTGAGTATCCCATGTGCCCGACTCGGAAGTACTCCCCGGCACAGGCCGGGTGCAGCCCTGCGGCAATGATCCATCCTCGCTCCTTCATGGGGGGAAGAATGTCGCCCGCCGCCTTCCCCTGGGGGTAGCGGATGCAGGAGAGTAGGTTCGAAGACACCTGAGAGCTCTCCGTGAGCAGCTGCAGCCCAGCTGAAGAAAGCTTTTTATGGACCCGGTCCTTGGTCCGCCTGTGCGCGTCAAAGTACCCGTCCATCCCTCCGGGAGTCTCCAGGAGCTGCTCCAGCCCGACCCTCAGGGCCCCGACGAGGTTCACGGCCGGGGTAGCAAAGTAGGAAGGCTTCCTCTTCTCGTAGCTCTCCATGATGGGCATCCAGCTGCGGAGGTTCGCAAAGTAGTTGGGGATCGCTGCCTTGTCGGGGATGCGCTCGAGAGCTTGCTGGGAGCAGATCATGACGCACAGGCCGGGAGGTACCCCAATGGCCTTCTGCGAGCCCGTCAGGACGAAGTCGATGCCCCACTCGTCCATGCGCAGCTCCTCCCCAGCAGCGGAGCAGACGGCATCCACCACGATGAGCGTGTCGGGGGAGACGCTCCTGGTCAGTTCGCAGAGGGCCTTGAGATCGGCAAGCACGCCCGTGGACGTATCGACCCCTGTAATGGAGATGATCTTGTAGGGGCGGGAAGACTGCTTCGCTCCTTTCAGCTCCTTCTCCACCTCCTCATGCAGCGGCCTCGCACCAACAACCTTGGGAGCGACCGACGTCACTTCCATCCCGTACTGCTTGTACGCGTCCTCGAACCTCGTGCTGAAGAACCCTGAGTTCACCTGTAGAACCCTGTCGCCCCTCCGCAGGAGGTTGCAGGCGACCACATCCCATCCGAGCACACCGGAACCAGAGAGGATGAAGGGCTGAGCGGAGGAGGAGAGGAAGACTTTCCTGACCAGTTCGATTGACCTCCCAAAGTCCTCGATGAGGGTCGTGTCTGTATGCGCCCTCGCCCCCGACCCAGCTGCCTGCAGGACTTCAGGAGAGAACTCGACGGGTCCGGGGATGAAGAGCTTCGGCCTTACAGACTCACTCTCATAGCCTCCTATCGGCAGCGAGCCGTACGCTCGGGAGGAAGGGAGTCCCTTTGCTCCCCTGCTGCCAAGGATTCTGCTGTAAGGAAAACTTGCCTTCAGACTATGTCCCGCTGACAAGAGACATTTTCTCAACATGACGAGATATGTGGATGGACTTCAATTTAGTGCCTGAGCAAAGAAACGATCAAAACCCGAGGAGATGTCATAGGTATTACTGTTTGTGCGGGTTCACGCTTTCTACTCTTCTATCAGCTATCGCAAGACAAATATGGTTGGTTTGACTGCTTGCGACAAACTGCCTTCCTTCACATCCGTATCTTCCTCCTGCTCCCGCTCCTGCTCCTGCTCCTGCTCCTGCTCCTGCTCCTGCTCATCATCTTCCTCTTCCTCCTACACGATCCCCTCCGTCGCTTCCCTCTGGTTTCCCTTCATTCCATCAAAAAGATGCACAAACCTTACCCCGCCCCTCAGATTTCGATACTACCCCTACCCCCCTAATATATCACATGTTGACCCCACCATTCTGTCTTTGCATTTATGTGTTAGCTACTTGTACCCCTCATCAATAGCAGGACCCTACCCCCCATCAGCGCACGGCTGTACCTCGGTGTGGTGGTCCTTTACACCACTTTCACTATCTGGTACAAATCTAAATCCTTGTTCAACTGTAAAATTAGTTATTATTTACAAAAATATATTTATAGTGAGTTAGTCTACCACCCCACAGAAAGAAAACCATATTAATTTAAAATATTTTACTAGGTACACAGAGGAAGTGCCTTTTAATTCCTTAGTAATAAATTTAAATACCAGATACAAATATTGTACTAAGTTACAAAGTCGGAACGACAGTAGTAGACTCGATTCGGCAGCAGGCGGACAGGAGGGGCAGGGAGCAGGCAGGAAGAGGCAGGAGGGGGAGGGGGGAGATCGAGAACATGGACAAGACTAGAGCCGCCGATCTACGTTCCCATCACTGTTCTACGCCATACCGGTCTTGCATCTTTGAATACAGGCACGGGAACTTTTTGTCTTACGATTGGTGAGGGCGATAACACGAAAAGGGCAGGGGCAGCTCAAAGGGCGTGGTCTGAAAAGCGGAAAAGCTGCTGCAATCGAGACGACAAGGAAAGATGTCTGCAACGATTGCGATTGAACTACAAGCCCTCGTCGCTGATGCTTGGTTGTTGAGAGTTTTGTCATCATCTTGTAAGAATCAGGATCCAGTCGATGCTAAGTGCACAGTAGTTTGATTCCAGTCCTTCTCTTCCCTTGCAGGGGGTTGCAGGACGACCGCAAGTTGAGGGGGAGGAGATTCATGGCGAATGGTGCCAAGAAGGGGGTTGATGTTGCCGATGTCGATCACGGTGATTTAAAAGTTGTAGCAATTTAATAACAAACCAATGAATAAACCCAAAGAAGAAATGAAGGAGAGGAAGAGAAAGAAGGGAGAGAGCGAGAGAAAGAGAAAGCAACTTGGGGAGGGAGGGAGGGAGGGAGGGAGGGAGGGAGGGAGGGAGGGAGGGAGAAGGGGAAAGAATATGTACATACAGATGCGGCGACTATTCACAACGTTGATCGCGGAAGACGCGATAGTTCTTGTGCCCTTTCTCGTTCCTCAGGTCCATGAAGCTCCTGAGCACCAGCTGAAGCTCGCAAAGGTGATGATCGATGAAGAGCCTCTGGGTGTAGTGGTTGGAGATGCTGATGTTCATACAGATGTCCCTGTACCCGCCTGACTTGATCGACTTGTAGTTAGGGTCCAGCCTGTTCTTCACCCTCACCACTCTGATGTCGGAATCCTCCATGATGAGCTCGACGGCCCTCCTGAGCTCGACGATGTCGTCGAAGACGAGCGCGTAGCGCACGATGTCCGTAAGCCGCGACACGTCGCCGTTGTAGGATCGGACGACCTTCTGGATGGCTCGGCTGACGTTCTTGAGGGCCGGGCGTTTGATCATGGTGATGCGGTCTGGGACGTCGGTGATCTCCTTCCATGCGATGTACCGCTCGTTCTCCCGCAGGAAGTCGTCGAGGAGGAAGAAGCAGTTGCACCTAGAGCCCAGCTCCTTCACCTTCTCGAAGAACACGGGCTGTACGACGAGAGCCTGCGCGTACAGCTGCTCCAGGGAGTTCACCCTCAGTTGGGAGGTGGTCATAGTGAGCTCCTTTGTCAAGGCCATCATGGTTACCAGTCGCGAGCTTTTGCGAGCGAGCTTCTCCTGGATCTGGAGAGCCAGCTGGGGCCTGAAGGTGCTCTCGAGGCCGATGGGCGTCCGCGGTATCCTCATCCCATCGGAGGGGAGGGAAAGGTGCTGTATCGCAGAGCAGTGGACTTGGAGCCTGTTCATGGTGTCGTTGAGCTCCGCCAGGTTGCGCTCGTCCTGCGCTACCTGCCGCCAGAGCTCGTCGTACTCAAAGATGTCTCGCTCGATCCTCTTGAATGACTTGTACAGCAGATACCTCCTCCAGACGAAGAAGGAAACCCAGGCGAAGAAGAGGAAGATGTGGTTGGGCCGCAGGGTACTGATCGTGACGCTGAATTCTCCATCCCTAAGGTTGATGAGGAGCGTGTTCATGAAGGATCCGGCCAGGCAGTACACAGGAAGCAGCGTAAGCGTGTACTGCTCCTTGAACTGCATCACCGAGCCATACGCCAACTCGAAGAGTCCCCAGAGGAAAGATTGCAGGAATCCGAGCAGAGGCAGAGGCGTGAAGGTGGCGACGATGAGATCGACGACTCCTGTAGCATGGAAGGCGCAAGCGACGGCAATCTTGCCCAGGAGAGTGAAGCCTGCTTGTGCGAGGATGGGTGTACCAAAGGTCGCGATCATCCGGAAGGAGATATTGACTAACTCGGCAACGCACTGCCAGGAGATCCTCAGGTCGAAGTGATACCGCTGGTTCCGAGTCCTCGTCACGTTCTCCTCCTTCGGCTCACAGAGTTCGGTCCTTGGGCTCAACCCGCAGTCAAACTTTGACTTCAGTGCCCAGCTCGCCTCGCTCAAGCTCGTAGGGTCGAGCTGGGCACTGTCCTGGGTCACGTGCAGCTCGAGAGCGGTGGGGTCGTGCTGGTAGGAAGAATCCTGCGAGCCTGTATAGAACTCCCATCCGTTGGCAGAGATCGGACTGGGGAAGGAAAAGTAGAAGTGCGACTCGTTCCTCGCCTTCAGCTCAGGGGTCAGCTTGACACAGTCTCTTAGGAAGCTGAAGCGCTCAAGGGAGGCGTTGGGGGCAACTGGCGACCTTGTCCTCAACACCTTGATGCGGGCATGCGAGACAGCGAAGTGGCTGCGACTGACCAGCTCCATGATCGGGAGGTAGTCGTCCAAGACGTAAGTGACTATCATCACAACACCAGCTACCACCAGCCCCATCTGAAACATGCGTTTGTGTATGACGTTGCTGAGAGGCCGGGAGGAGAAAATCACGCTCCCTGTCTTGGCGTCGTGCACTCCTGCCTCGACCGAGTGGACGAGGTGGTCCAAAAGCCCCCCCGGCACCATCCCCTTGGCTGCCATAAGGAGAGAGCTGACAGAGGACGTGTCGCCCTCTGCAGCGCCTTCGCTGACCATCATTCCTGACTGCATGACGAACGTAAAAGTCTGAAGGAACTTTCGCCGTTGTTTGATGAGGAACAGCACGTTGCTGGCGTTCCCCTTGTCCATCTTGCGCGTCTGCAGGATCAGCTTCCTCATGATGCAAGCTTCATGGCTCGCTGGAGAGACGAGCGAGTGCAGCTCAATCAGAGCAAGCCTGACTTCGCAGATGTGACCCAGCAAGTTGTTCTGGATGGCCTGGTCGTTGGTGAAGCAGATGTTCAAAGTGATGTCTCTGTACCCGCTGCACGGCCTGCTCAGTCGGTTTCTAATGTACGCGATCTCGATTTCGGTGTCTTCCATAAGCTGCTTCAGCGCCCCATTCAGGTCCTCCAGGCTGTTGAAGAAGATGCTCTGCCGCACCACGTCTGTGAGCTGAGAAACGTCGCCGTACAGGAAGGCCAGGATCTTTTCAACCGACCGGTTGATGTTCTTGATGCTGGAGAAGTAGACATTCCTCATGGCAGCTGGGGACTTCTCCAGGTCCTTGTACAAAAGGTACTGCTTCTCTTGCCCGTCCGCATTCACTATGCAGCAGTATCCGCTCCAATCTATCCCTACCGTCATCACCTTACGCAAGAGCATTGGGAGCACGACGACAGACCGGGCGTACAGCTGATCCAAGTTGTGAACAGGGTAAGAAGGAATGGAGTCCGTTAATGAGCTGACGGAGATCGAGATCATGGAGTCGATCGGCATCACCCTCGACCTCGAGCTCATCCGGCTGAGCCTCCTGTTGCTTCCGTCGACCGTCGGTGCCTCCATGGACGACGACGGCATGATGAACGTGTGCCTGCTGGTAGGCGTAGACTTGCCGGGGAAGGAGACGAAGAATTCGTTGATGAGCCTGTCAGTCTCCTGGAGGGCTGACTGAGCTTGCCCCATGCTGGTGATCGACTTCCATGCGCTGTCGAACATGGCAGCGTCCACCCTCAGCTCCTTGGAGGCAGCGATCCTCCTGGAGATCTTGTGCAGGAGGGCTGCGAAGAATAGCACGAAGGCCACCAGCAGCTCGATCCTGTAGCTCCTGACCGTCGCGTACCCAATGATCCTGATGACGAGAGAAACCACGAGCAGCTCCAGGGCGAACGTCTCCAGGAAGAGGATGGGGCAGGGGAACACAAAGATTGTCTTTGCCATGAAGTCAGGTCACATCGTATCGACAAGAACGCTTCAAACTCACCACAAAGAACAACGTCAAGGTCTGGGAGTTGTCAAGCTCGGAGATCTCATCCCTGGCCCCGACGGCAAGAACAAGGTTCCCGATTCCAACGATCCACCCTCCGAGGACAATGATCTATGGGATCAGTCAGATGTCAACAAGAGCGAGAGGGAGCGGAGCACATCTTCACTCACCCGTCTCGGAGCCTTCATGCACTCAAAGAACGCAAACACCGACGACAGCATGTATGACAAACCCTGGGCTGCAGCCAAGACGAAGCTCAGGTTCTCATTCCAACTGCAGCTCGCCAGACTGAAGTCGATCCGTGTTGGGTTTCTCTGGTAATCAGTTTCGACCAGCACAGTATCGATCTTCACCAGCCGATGCTCGTAATCGTGATACTTCAAAGTGGACATGTACGCCATGGTCACCAGGTATCCACCATATATGAACGACAGCGCCTGGAAGAACTTGTGCGCGTAGAGCGCTGTCAGCGGCTCCTTGTAGAAGAATGATGTGAGCAAGTCCTTCCTGTAGAGTTCTCTCACTCCGAGCTTTGAGTTCAGGTGGTTTCCTGGCTCCAACATGTACAGCAACGTAAAGTGCTCTCTGAGCTGAATGTCGAGCTGCTTGATAGGATCCTCTTCAGCGTTCAACTCCTCCTCCTCCTCTGCGCCTTCTTCATGAACTTTGTAGTCTAGAGATGCGTCCGCCACCATGGTCCTCCCGGAATCAATCGGCGGGGGGAACGGAGACATGCGGTCACGTAATCATGGCGCTCAACATCAGCGAAATGTTGTTATCCTCCATCGCTTTCCCTCAGCGTCGATGCTCGTTCCTTACGAAGATGTGTTTACACAAGAATTTCCTCCGTTCCTGTGAGATTTTTGATCTGGCATGACTCATGTCAGTTTGATACCAGTACGAAATTTGAGAAGAGTAAAGGGGGGGCGGGGGCGGGGGGGGGCGGGAATTTCCGTACATCATAGGGGAGATGAAAATTGAACATCGAATCCAACACATTGAAGCATAGGTGTTGTAGGACGAAAGAGAAGAAACACAACAAATTTGGGAACAGGAAGGGAAAACAGGACTACTACACGTTGAACGGATTTGTGAGCGCAGTATCTCTAATGGGAGTTTGGAGAGTTTGCGTATCCTTCCGACTCCAAAATCTCTTCTTCCCCTCCCTCTCCTCCCTCTCCTCCTTCCTCTTGCTGCTGCCTCTTCCTCCCGCCCCTTCTTCCTCTTCCCGCCCTCGTCCTCTCAGCTTCCCCTCGCGCCTCTTCTCCTCCGCCTGCCATGTCTGCAGTAAAGCCTCACACGAAAATGAGCATTGTAAATTCCAATATAGTTTTATATCTGTACGTCGAATCCTGTCCTAAAACCAATTTAGAATAAAAGTTTTCTAATGATGTAAAAATTTGGTAGGTGGATAACTTTTATTGTCGAAAGGGGGCTGGGGGGTAGGGGTACTCGTGAAGTTTCCTCACGCACCGGTCGTAGCGAAGAAGCTCATTGGGAACAAGGATACGAGTGTGGGGTGGGGTTGAAGTTCAGTTTGATCAGGGGTAGGGAACAAGCCTATCCATAAGGGGTAGGGTAGGGAGATCTATGTGAACAGGGGTAACTACATACAGTTTGCTCCTCCGACCAGGGGTGACATGCTGAAAAGGAGGGGTAGTCTCGGCCTCGGCCAAAGGAGTACTTTTTAAAAGCAGTTTTATATTAGATGGTCTCGCATGACCTGGTACAAAGTGACGATGAATAAAAAAAAAAAAAAAACATGGGGAAGTGAGGTATTTACTGCGCACGGGTTGACGAGGGAAATATCTCTAGGAATATTTGAAATCAAAGAGGTAAATTTCAACATTGCCATTCCTTGAGCACTCTTGAATTCCAACGGCTTCAAAAATACGTACTAGTCATCAATGCTGAGACCCGGTGACGGCGCCGCGGCGGCGGGCGGCCGTACCGGCGGCGGGCCTGGCCCGGGACCGGGCTTACTAGCGGCAGAGTCGGACTCCCGGAGCCGCTCAGGGCTTAGCCGCTGAGAGCGGCGATCCGATCCGGCACGGCTCAGCCACCGTGACTGTCAGTGCGCGGGCCCGGCGGTTACCGTGGGCCTCTGATCCGGCGCCGGATCGGATCCAGTACCTGGCTCGGGTCCGAGCCGCTCAGAATGGCCCTTGAAGTCCTGGCGACCAGGACCGTGATGGCGGTCGACTGGGACCGTCCGACAGTCACTGCGGCTCGCCGGGACATGGCGCGGCGGTCGACCGGGACAGTGCTCGCCGGGAGCTGCCGCGCGCGGCAGGCTGCCCGGAATCCTCAAGGTGACGGTGATCGGATGATATGAAGACTCCCGTATACCTATAGTGAGGGAGGCCCCGACCGTGATCGCCGGGACTGGCGGCGGCCCTTCAACTGATTGGGGGGCTCGATCCTGTGATATTATACCGTATATTAGGCACTTGAAGGATTTACTGAGTATGAGCCTATGTCCGACTGCAGCTGATTCTCCAGCAGGAGCTTGACCACCTCCACATGACCTCCCGACCTCGCAAAGTAGTCACAGCTCGCTCCTCCGTTGTCTTTCTCCAGCAGGAGCTCAGGCCCGCACGCCTCCTTGAGGAACTCGAGCGAGGCGACCTGCCCGGCCGAGCTGGCGAAATGCGCGCAGGTCCTGCCGTGAACGTCCTTGACCAAGAGCAGCTCCTTCCCGCACGCTTCCAGCAGCTGCTTCAGCGTCTCCACGTGCCCTCCATGGCTGGCAAGATGCGCACAGGTAGTGCCCCGTGCGTCCTTGCCCAGCAGCAGCTCCATGCCGCAGGTGGCCTGCAGGTACCTCAGGACCCCTGCGTGCCCTTCCATGCTCGCCAGGTGCGCGCACGTCCTGCCTTGCACGTCCTTTTGCTGTAAGATCCCTTGCCCGCAGGCTTGTTGGAGGTATCCCAGCACCTCGACGTGACCCCCCATGCTCGCAAGATGAGCGCAGCATCGTCCCTGGTCGTCAGCCAGCAGCAGCAGCTCCCTGCCGCAAGTCCCCACCAGGTACTCGATCACGTCGCCATGCCCTCCCACGCTCGCAAAGTGTGCGCACGTCTTGCCCTTTTCCGTCACCTCCAGCAGGAGCGCCTGACCGCACGCCTCCTTGAGGTACCGCAGAACCTCCACATGCCCCCCAACGCTTGCTAGGTGCGCGTTCGTACGTCCGTAGGCGTCCTTCAGCATCAGCAGCTCCTTCCCGCCGGAGTCTCCGAGGTACTTGACCACGTCAAGATGCCCCTGCATGCTGGCGTAATGTCCAGCTGACTTGCCCTCCTTGTCCACCTGCTCTAGCAGCTCCTGCCCACCAGCCTCCCGCAGCAGCCTGACTATCTCCACATGCCCCTCCGCGCTTGCAATGTGTGCGCACGTCCTTCCCTGATGATCGGGGAGCTGAAAAATCTCTGGCCCGCATGCCTGCTCTAGGTAGGTCATCGTTGTCAGGTGGCCGGCCGAGGTTGCGGCATGCGCGCAGGTCTCGCCAACGAGGTTCTGCTCCATGAGCAGCTCTCGCCCGCAGCTCTCCCTGAGGTACCTCAAGGCGTCGAGATGACCCCCCATGCTCGCTTCATGAGCTCCGGTACTCCCTTCCTTGTCTGCCAGCAGGAGCAGCTCCCTCCCAAAGCTCTCTCTCAGATACCTGAGCACCTCGACCTGACCTTGCGAGCATGCTTCATGCACGCATGTCTTCCCGTCTTTGTCGCGCTGCTGCTCCAGCTGAAGCCCCCCCACCTCCTGCAGGTACCTCATCACCTCAACGTGCCCTCGATAGCTTGCGAAGTGTGCGCTAGTTTTTCCCCTGCTGTCGCCCAGCAGCAGCGTCTCCTTGCCGCACGCCCCCACAAGATGCTTCAAAACCTCCACGTGCCCCCCAGTGCTCGCGAGATGTGCGCACGTCCAGCCCTGATGGTCCCTCAGCCCCAGCAGCTCCTTCCCGCACGTCTCCTCGATGTATCGGAGAGTCTCTACGTGTCCTCCCAGGCAAGCTTCATGCGCGCAAGTCTTGCCCGAGTCATCTCGCTCCAACAGCAACTCCCTCCCACACTCCTGCTCGAGAAACTCCAGCGACTTCACGTGCCCGTTTGCATGATGGCAGCAAGTTTTCCCTTCCTCGTCTCGCTCCCGCAACACCTCAACACCGTGCGTATCCTTGAGATACCTAAGAACTTCCACCCGACCTCCCGAGCTTGCTAGCATGGCGCAAGTGAGACCGTTGCCGACCCTACTGAGGGACAGCTCCTGCCCGCACGTGCCTTCCAAGTACCTCAGGACCTCGACATGCCCTCCCATGCTCGCCATGTGCGCGCAGGTCTTGCCTTCCTCGTCTTTCTGCCGCAGCGCGTCCATCCCGCACGTGTTCTCGATGAGCTGGACCAGCTCCAGGTGGCCTCTGAGAGAGGCGAGCAGCGCGCAGGTGGAGCCGTTGGGAGCCTTGAGCAGCAGCACCTCCTTCCCGCATACCTCCCGCAGGTACTTCACAATCTCTACGTGTCCAGCAGAGCTCGCTTCATGTGCACAGCTGGCGCCGTGCTGGTCGATGCGGAGGAGGAGGTCAGGTCCGCATGCTTCATGAAGGTACTTGAGAACCTCCAGGTAGCCTCTGGAGCCTGCGATGTGTGCGCACGTCCGCCCTCGATCATCCTCCGCCATGAGCAGCTCCGACCCGCACGCCTCCTTCAGATACCTCAGCACCTCCACGCTGTCTCGCGCACATGCAATGTGCGCACAGGTCATCCCGCCAGCTCCAGTCCTCTGCTCCAGCGCCTTCACGCCCAGCAACCTCACCAGCTGCCTCGCTGTGTCCACGTGCTGCATCGCCCAGTGCGCGCATGTCCAGCCGTTCTCATCCCTCGCATCCCCGTCCGCCCCCGCCTCCTGCAGCTCCTGCATGCAGCCCTTCATCCCCAGCATGCAAGCCACGTGCAGCGCCGTCCTCCCGTCCTTGGTTTGCGCGTTCAAGTCGCATCCAGCAGCGTGCAGCAGGGAAATCAGGTCTGCCTGCCCTCTCAGGACAGCCAAGACGGTCGGAGGGTCTTTCCCCGCCTCCCCCTGCTCTATTGACATGCCCAGCATGCGGCAGAGTCTCTTCAGCATCTCGTGCCTCCCCTGATCATCCTGGCCCTGGGTCCTACCTATCTTCTTTCTCAAGTCTGCCATTTTCTTCCAGTAGATATCCTTCATTGTCTGCTTTGCAAGGCTGCGACACTGCCAGTCGCCCTCCACATCCTCGATCCAGTACCTCAGCTTGTTCGTTGCCATCTCCATCATCACCATCGCTTCCTCCATCGCTTCCTTGTAGTTGCTCTCGTCGTTGTACCACCGGTCTGTCTTCTTCCTGCTCCCCTGCACCTGGCCCTCGCACTCATCCATGATGGAACTCAGTAGGACCTTGTGGTATCCAAAGGCCGCATCCCCCTGTGCGTGTCTCAGCCGCCTCTGAACCTCCGGCTCCCAATCGTCAAGGTCCCGCGCCACCTCTCGGGCCAAGTTCTCCATCAGAGCCACGTACAGCTGCTTCCTCTTCCCTACAAAGTCCTCTATCGTGGACGTCGTAACGTTGGCATTTATCTTCAGCTTCACCAGCCTTACCCGCCGGCCCTCCACCACCTTGCTCTGGGGCTGTCTGACGACTTCGAGGTAGGACAGTGGGGGAAACAGTATCTCCTTCTCCCCGGGATACTGAGACAGGAACTCCAGGCTCGCTCCCCGGTCGATGGCCCCGCAGCTGATCTCGAAGACTATGGGCTGAAGTCCTTGACCCACGTACTGGATGGCCGTCTTGATGTCAGTCGTTGTGCTCAGCAGCCCGTACTCCACTCCCCCCGACACTCCCAGCTCATCCTCCTTCAAGAACCTCTCGGGCATCCTCAGCCCGCTCATCCCTCGGAGGACCTTCCGGTTTCCGAGCAGCGGAGTGTGTCGGGATAGTTTGACTAGCCCGCTCACCATGCAGTGGATGGTCGTCGTGTACCTGTTGATGACCGTAGCAGGCGCTCTCAGAGCCATGTTGTACTTGTGGTACATGGGACCTGCCGAAAGGAGTATGAGTACCTTCTCTTCCTCTTCCTCTTTCTCATCGTCTTCGTCTTCCTCATACTTCTCCTCTACTTCACCTTCATCCCCCTCCTCCTTCTCTTCCTCCAGTGTTCCTTCTTCCACACCTGTATAGAGCAGGAGGGCGAGGACTTCCTCCTTGATCAGCTGTGCTTTGACAGCGAGTTCATCACGCATCAGCTCCTCCACATCTCGGATGATCCTGTGACCGTCCGAGAGCTCAGACCGCCTCCTCGCATCGGTAACCGCCAACCACTCCTCCTTGGAAGTTGTCTGGATGTAGTAGTTTCCTGTGGTGAACGCCTCCTCAGAGTCTCCTGATCTACAGTGCTCGTCCTCCATGCCCTTGTACAGGTTCGGCTGGGGCAGGCCGATGCGCTCCGTCAGTCCCCCGTAGAATTCTGCGATCCTCCCGTAAGAAGCTTCGCGCAGCCCCTGCTCGCTCTCCTGGCTTGCCTCCTCGTTCAGCGAGAACTTGCTGTTATGCAGCTGCTGATCCTCTTGCGCCTGCCCCGTCGCCGGGGGTCGGAGCTTCGAGACGACTTGCCTCACCTTCCTGCTTATCGCCTTCATGCACTCTTCTACTGACTGGCTTCCAGCTCCTCCTTGCAGCTCAGCGAGAGGATTGTTCACATCTCCTCCGGGAACGCACTCAGCCATCGCTCGTAGCAGGTCCAGCTCAGCGAGGCCGAGGCTCTTGTGCGCTAGCTCCCACTCCCTCGCCACTCTCATCCTATATGTTTCCATCGTCTCCCCGCCCACCACCGCTACCTTTTCCTCTATGGCGCTACCGACGCTGAGGGCAACCAGCAGCCGGCGCGTGAGCACATCGGTCCCATCCACGTCGTCGCGTCTCTCATAGAGCTCCTCCAATATCGACAGAGCCTCTTCAGGGAGCTGCCAGGAATCGCTCCTCCTGTCCTCGTGCTCGTCCTCAGTTTCGCCACGTTCCTCCCTGATGTTTGTCAGCCTTGCGTTCGCCTCTTCGAGCTCTGTGTTCCTCGCTGACAAGGCCTTCACCTGCCCTTCCAGCTGCTGAATCCTGCTGTTGAGCTCCTCGAATCTGGGTGCATCGTCGCCTCCCTCTGGTGTGACTTTGGGTGAGAGGAAAGGGAAGCAGCGCGAGTGATCTCTGCAAGGTGGAGGAGGCATGAAGACGGTCGGAAATTCAGGAGTAGGAAGGAGACTTTAGTAGCGTTGGGATACTTGCGTCATCCTGCTGCTGCCTGCTGCTGTTACTCTCCCTCCCTCCCTCTCCCTCCCTCCCTCCCTCCTCCTTCCTCTCTCCCTCCCTCTCTGTCTTTCCATGTGTTGTCTTGTCTCCACTCTGCCCGTCCTTCCTCCTAAGTGTCGTCCCGACGTCTCTCCTGGCCATGGAGATCCCCCGCCCTAGCTCGGCCGCTGCTGGGCATGAAAGCAACGGCAGTCATTTCCACATGACACAAGTCCGCCTCATTAATCAAATATAGAAAAGAAGAAGGCATCAAGACTTTTTTATGTCCATTCATTCCTTGGACAGCTACTGTCCTCTCTGCGGGAAGTATTTTAAAATCTTCTACATGTGCTAGTTCAACATCCTCAACTCTTTACTCTAGAGCCACAAACACACAAACTTCATCTCTCCTCCTCCTCCTCCTCCTACGTTGCTCGTCTCAGTCCGCCGAAGTCGCTTCGGGCCCCCGGGGGCTCCTCCGGGCCCAGTCCTCCATCGCAGTCGTTTGTCTTTCGTCCTTTCACGGTCTGTTGCCGCAGTAGTGTCATAGTATGTCTTCGGGCTGCTCGATCGCTGCAAGTTGATCTCTTGAGCCCTCCTTCGCGATAGGAGCAGGAGCAGGACTCCGGGCAGGACCGTACAGGGGCAGGGGTAGGGCCCGGGCAGGAGCAGGAGCAGGAGCAGGAGCAGGAGCAGGAGCAGGAGCAGGAGCAGGAGCAGGAGCAGGAGCAGGAGCAGGAGCAGGAGCAGGAGCAGGAGCAGGAGCAGGAGCAGGATCTGCAGAAGCACGACTCGCGCGACTCTGAGTTGTAGCGGGAGCAGGAGCAAGAGCACAAGCCCTTTCTCTCTACACCAAGTTTCTCTCTGTGACGGACAGTGAACTTCGGAACTTCGGAAGTTCACCCGGCGTGTGGGCCCGGCCCGGAGAAAGTGAAAGTTGACGGGCCGCACGGCCCGATCTGATGAGCACTGAGTTGAACTTCGGGCCAGCCCTTTTTTCAGGCCGGGCGATCGTGCCAGAGGCTGGTAGGGTAGTCGTTCAGGTAGGGTGGGTGCGAAAGCAAGTGGCCCCGCTGTACAGATGAGCAGTCCAGGGGTACCTGCGTAGCAAATTTGCTGACAAATGTAGGGGTACTTAGATGGTTTGAGGAAAAGGTGGCTTTTGCTGTCTATCTTGTATGGTGGGGTAGTCAAAAATTCTCTATGACTGCTGGGGGTAGTTGGGAGAAGGGGTGGGGGTATTTAGCGTTACGTCTGTAACAGTTATTTAGAGCGGCCTCCAGTCATGGCTCGAGGGATGCGGAGGAGCGAGGGAGGGACGACGAGAAGGGAGGAGGAGGGGGAGCATGGGAGGGAGGAGAGCGAGAGGATGAAGGATCATGCAGCATCGCTTCTCACGAGGATCAGCATGACAGCGTGAATTCAGACGGGGCCAGTGCCGAGGGAGTGGTCGGATTCATGGGTTGTAGCATTCCGTAGAATTGGACATGCTTGATACCCTGATGTTTTCTCGCTGCACGCATCGTGATGAATGTGAATATGAATGGAAAGCATGTAGATAGATGCAAATGACAGACGTTCTCATGGATAAACACAAGGATTCGCATGAGAGATGTGGGTTGATGTTAATGACCGACGACTGCTCGAGGCTTCATGTGTCTGCAGTCTGCGCGAGCCAGCCCCGAGTCCAGCGCTGACCATCGTCTCATCTGACTCCCCATACAGGAATCATGCGACTCCTGTCGAGTTTCCTGGTCGTTTCCCTCGCTCTGTCCCTCTGTGTCCTGTCGGATCTTGGTGCGACCCGCATCGACGTTTTTGGCGGGCTCACGATCCTTTGGCAGCGCATGCAGCCGACGAGAATGCTGCTGCTACCGCAGAAGCAGTGAACAAGACGCAGGAGCAGGTTGATGTTCCTCCTTGCTCCTTGTCCTTTGCCTTGCTCCTCCTCGCCCGTGTTGGATCGTGCATGGTCTCCATGCTCTTGCATGCTCCTGCCTTCTTCTCTTTCTTTGCATGCTTCTGATGGCACGTTTCGAACCTCTAGCGAGCACAGGAGTACAAGGAGCAGGTGAACGCGATTCGTGTTCTGTATGCAGCCCAGGTGAGGAGGTGCTGGCTGCTCGGATCATGCAGGCTGAGATGTACCTGCAGCATGCCGTCAAGACTGCCAACGAGAGCTGCGGGACTCCCCCCTGCGGCGGAGATCCAGCTGAGCGTAAGGAGATGGAGGATGGAAGGAGGAGACTGACCGGATCCTCTAGCATTCGCTGCCAGCCTCGCAAACATCACCTTTGATGATGATGCCGCCAAGAAGAAGGTGGCAGAGTAAGGGGTGGAGGCGGGAGGGGTTGACTCTCCCCCAGGCCATCGACTCTGCTTT